TTCAAATTTCTTAAAATCTATGTCTTTATTGCTATGTAGTGATCTGTGGAGGTCAAAGACTACAGAGAAGAGCTCCCGGTTATAGAAGAGGGGAATTCGAAATTCTGATGGGATAAAAGGAAGTTGGAGTTAGATGGATTACGTGATTTGAGTGAAGCAGTCCATCCCCTCTTCTTTCTTTTCCCATTATCTCACACTCTTATCTTTTGCTGATGTCATTGCGTGTATTTGTGTGCATATTGTTTGTTCTATTTCATATTGTTAATAGCAATCATCGCTGTTTTCTTCACAAGTGAAATATTTTTAAACGCAATCCTCTTGCAGAATACAACTTCTAATTATGCTCATTGCAAGTGTACTGTACATAGTATGTACTGTTGGGAAAAACGGTGGGTCTTTATTATCAATATAAAGCAAATTTAGCAATAAATCTTCTGCAATCCTAATCGAACAAGCAGTGTTAGTAATGACAAGAATGGACAGCAGTAGCGAGATCTTCTTTCAAAAGGTTATAGTAAAGGTGCTTAGAATCAATATCTATTGCTCAGAATGATAAACAAAGAATAAACCATTCCTAATGCAAGGGTGTGAAATAAATGTAACTAGTATTTCAAACCGTACACTCAGTTCACGGAAACAGCTGTGGCTATAGGCCAGTGAATGCATAAAGCTTGTTCTGACTATGTGAGGAAATGGAAGCATTATTGGCACTGAACTGAGCGATCCGAGATGGCTGAGCAAATGTATTTCATTACAAGTGGGAAGTGATCCAGCAGCTCCGTGTATCTAAAAATCCATATACTTCTAGAATTACTCGGTCAGTACAGTGGAACGTACCTATTCCTTCCAAGCAGATAGATCCAACGGTTTCAGCGATGAGCACGGAACAGCTTTTTCGCCGCGGTCAATGGCAAAAGCGTTCGGCACGATCCTTGTCATGCTCAAAACGTTTAGTTTTCTATGCATTTCAAAAATGCAAAATTAGAGACAAGGCGACTCTCTTTTGTCAACATACCTATCACCTGTTTGGCACAGTACCCACGAGAGTGTCACTGCTTTTAACGCTGCTACTTGCGCGGGGGTGAATATTCCGCTGTTTTCATAGTAGAATCTAAAAGACTATGACTTCATTTCGTTAACAAACGCATTATATGTACTGCATACCTGTCTCCATCGCGAAGTCGCACGAATTGTTCAGCAATTATACATGCAAATGTTGGACCAACGACACTGCCAGCAATTGGCTCCTCCAAGGTCCCACCAACGTATAAGTCGATCTTAAGTATCAACGAGGAATAGCTTTACATTTTTTTTGAAGAGACAAATAAGTAACTTTACTTAATCATCTTAAGTTGTCTGATTACATTGTGACATTGTAGGAAGAAGAGTGTTGCGCAACAAAAAATTTTTTCCATGTGATTATCGTTTTAGAAAATTACAATCTGCCTCTTTCTAGTCACGTTAATTCATTGTTGTCATGCTTTTACTGCTTTAGTGATTCCCTCAAAATATTCTACTCAATTGCAATGCTTACCTATCCACTGCTACATGGATTGAATCGTCACAGTCTGATATTATTACTAAGTTATTGATTTTTAGATGTTTTATGTGACTACAATTACTATTTGTTATGGTATATATGTTGTTTATATAAACATAATTTGTTTGTTGATTATGCCAACTTAGCTTGATAATAGGAATTTATCAAAAGAACAAAACTCACATCATCTGGCGTTCGATACAGTTGTGATACGCGTTCACGAACAGCTGCTTCGGTGATTTCTGGCCACTAAAAATAAGATCCAATCATTTTTCGTCCGTTTAGAGTTTTACACACCTGATTGAAGCTGGTGAGAGGTTGGAGTCGGCAAAGTTTGCGATAGTCATTATACGAACGTAGACCGTGGTCACGTCCTCGCTAAATTAAGTTTACAAACAATATCCTAATGCTGAGTAAATAGCAAACTGATAATATAGCCTGAGCGTGAGTCATCCCATTCATTCTTAATCCCGGCTTTTCTTATAACATACATAAGCGTGAGGTTAATAGAAAAACAGAAGAAATCGTAAATCCAAAAATCGAGTCTCATTTACTACCCTTACTTGCCTCCCAAAGGACCGAAGGTGCTAAGAGAAAAGGAAGTACCTGGACATTAATTGTAGCCATATCCATTCCATTGAATAGACGCTCTGTCACAGATGTTGTAATTCGCTGGGGACTCCGGGCTGGAGTCGCAATAAGACCTCTGCAACAAGACCTAACCATTCACGAAATATGAGTCCAAATCAAGCAGAATCTTAGCCGCATCTGCTATGAACATCATTACTTATAATAAAGCGCTAAGTTTATCTGTATGTGTTTGTGTGTGTTTGTGCGCGCGTTTGCGTCTGTCTGTCACGAAATTAGTTCGTTTGCCCTAAGAAAGTCAAACAGCACTTGATCAGCCGTTATCGTCTTAACTGCAGAAAACTAAGTGAACATGAGCAATTTTGTTGTGAAAACGTGGTAAGTGACTAGTTCTTCGTGTTGCTCTATATCACAGGGGTGGGATCGAATGGCCTCTGCGACATTTCCTTCAAAATGGCATCAAAAGGTGAGATCAAGTTTTCAAATAATTCTTTAATACACGAACTGGTATATATATATATATATATATATATATATATATATATATATATATATATATACT